TGGTGGGTTGTCAGTAGGGTGTTGGTGGGTTGTCAGTAGGGTGCCAGCTGGTTGTCATAGTTGGTGGGTTGTCAGTAGGGTGTTGGTGGGTTGTCAGTAGGGTGTTGGTGGGTTGTCAGTAGGGTGTTTGGGTAGTCAGTAGAGTGCTGGTGGGTTGTCAGTAGGGTGCTGGTGGGTTGTCAGTAGGGTGCTGGTGGGTTGTCAGTAGGGTGCTGACTGGATGTCACAACTGGTGGGTTGTTGGGAGGTCGACAGTTGGTGGTATTGTCAGTAGTATTGTATCTATTCTGAACCAGTGCTGTCGTTATATCAAAGCACCCAGTTAACATTTGACTTTATTCTGTAGGTTATTTCTACTCCCAAGATTACAGTCAAATCTGGCGTGTATCCGAAGCCATGGAAGCAGGAATGGTTGGCGTCAATGAAGGGCTCATTTCCAATGAAGTCATCCCCTTTGGTGGATGGAAGCAATCTGGGCTTGGTAGGGAAGGTTCCAAGTATGGAATAGAAGAATACATAGAAATGAAGTATGTCTGCATGGGTGGAATCAATGAGTAATGATCAAATTAGGTGAATCCTCTAGTGTCTGTTGTAGGTAGGTACAATATAGTACAAAATAGTGAATTTTTTTAAATKATTCTATGTGATGTTCTCTCTTGCTCAGTGCTATCCAGCTTGATTAGTTCTGTTTTCATCACGAGAACCAGTATGGCTAATGAATAGTATGAAATATTCTTTAGAAATGTGTACATTATTTCTGTTATACAACTATACATTCCTAAGAAAATCAAACAGTGATATGGTGGTAGTCATGGTAAAGGACTTCTTCAAAAAATTATTTTTTTCAAAARCAATACCAAAATAACAGCAAAGATAAATATTAGAAATTATCAGCCAGTTTAAGAGCAAGAGAATTACAACCGGGAAAAGGAAAAACAATGCAATTCTGTGAGTTTTGAAAGTGTGATTATTGTTACTTTTTAAAAATAAAATAGTGAAGGTTTCAGCTGTGAAGATTATGAATATGGGTTTGAAAAGACTTCTTTCCATTTGGCATATTGCTTCCCCATTTCAGACCATGTGTCATTCCCTTTAGTATCATTCATTTCTTTGATTAATGGTTGCACTTCAGACCTTGTCATTCCCTTGATTATTATTTCTTTGTTTAATTGTTGCACTTGAGAAGATACATGAACTGGATAAAACACGTTTTCTAATTTTAGACCATGTGTCATTCACTTGAGTGTCATTTGTTTGTCTAATGGTTGCACTTAAGAAGACACATGAACATGGATGCAACTCAATGTTTTCTAATTTTATACCATTTGTCATTCACTTGAGTATCATTTCTTTGTTTAATGGTTGCTCATGACAAAGCACATGATTATGGTTACAACTCAAACAAAAAAAATTATTCTAGGGAGCTGTTTATTTATCCCTACAGTSCCATTAGCGAAGAATTAACCAACAGATAGCCTAAATGAGAAATGAGAATATGGGAAACTGAAATACTAGATAAATGAGAATTGAGCTATAAATAATTGCCAGACACTAGCGTTCGTATTTTAACTTTAACTTTAAYGTGCATTTTTAATTATTACCTACACACATTATTTAACTGTCTCTTAATAATAATCTTAAATTTTAACAAAAAATTAATTCCTTTTAAATAAAATGTGTAACAAAMCTTACCTAAGGCTTGATACTTAAATAAAAAATAACCAATACTATACATTAATATCATTTATACATAAATACTAAATGTGTAAATGGGCAATTCTAGGGTTTTATAAGGAGTATCTGAGGAGTAAAATAAAATATGACTAATTTCCACAAATCAGTGATATTTTGTCTTTTTCCTTTAGACTTCCAAGACACAACTACATACATTCAAAACTTTAGTTATTATAGAAAGTAAGTAATAACCAAGGACTTTTGTAAAACTATTCTTTTTTTAAATTGTTTTTCAAGTCTCCTGAAGAAAATAGAATTCAAATTCCAGGAGTTGCACACTAGGAATAAATTGTTATCTTATTGAGGCATTTAACCTCGGATCTAAACAGCAGTTACCATAGAGATTGCCACAGGGCCCCTCCAATCACTTGTCTAGGTAACAGCAACACTATCAGTTTTTCGTTTCTTATTGACTGTGTTATCATCRGAAGACATAGTACTTGTCGATGGTGACTGGAATATGTGGTCCTYAAGGTGATCCATAGAGGATTGATGCTGGTAACTCTTGTAGAATGGAAAGGCAGCTTGCCACACCTAAATGGAGAAAGAGTGATCAGCACATACCATGCCTGCCGTCACAGTCATTAACATATTGGAAGGGAAACTTTATAACTAAAATCAATAAATATTTTACTGGTCACTCAACTATTTACTGTAGAAACAGTACTGAGGATAATGAATTACACTTTAACAAGGCAAGCACAGGTGTTATATGCTGCCAATGCACCCCCTCTCGCCAAGGAGGTTATTGGTTTGATCTCCTGACTCACCATCTTATGTGAGTAGAGTTGCTTGTTAGTACTCTCCTGTGCTCCAATATCATAGTCTATCTCCAAGTTCTCCACTTTTCCTCCCTCCACAAAAATCAACTCCTAAATTCCAATTCGATCATGAAATGAGGGACCAAGGTTCGATTGCCCCTAGCTACTAATAGTATTACAGTATCATCGTGAAATGAGGATGATTTTTTTATTCTTTATTCATAATGACGGCTGGTTTTAATGTTAAGAGACACACCTTTCCTTCCAGAAGAAGATCTGTCACGGCTTTCATATCAGGCACCATGTATCGATCCTTATCTAGTGGTCTGGATTAATAATAACAAAGGAAAACACATAATCAAAGAGAAGTAGAGATGGTTAATAAGACATAATTATGCCCTTCTACTATTTCTTGGTTTCAAYCAAATGATAAAAGTCTCATGAGAATTGAAATACATTGTTTTGTGCTCCAAATTGAGCTCCTCTRRGAATTAATACAAGGGGTCTACTGAAGGGCCTTGGACTGGCGAACATTCTTCGATGCAGTATACAATACCAAGAGAGTCCACCTACTTTGAAACTGAGCGGACCAGTGCGTAGACTGACTCCAATGGCTGGGTCGTCTTCAAGGGTCTTAGGAATTCTATTCCTTGACAAGCAGAAAGCAGCTCAATGGCCAACACTATTAAGCAAGAAAGAAATTAATCATGGGTATAGATTTTAAGGTTATGATTCTGTATGATTATCATCTGTGCAGTTTCTATTCTTCCCGGGTACTATTGRATGTAAGTTTCTGAATGGCTTCCACCCTGACCAATCCCAGTTTGCAAAGATCATACCATAGGGAAGCCAGTAAGTATGAAAATTCATACCAAAAGAAAGTCACTGAAGCAAATCTGAAATGTTTGCCGCAAGAAAGCCAATTAAATGCACATGACAGGGAAACCAACTAAATGCACAAAAAAGAAAGCCAATGGAATGCAAATCTGATTCACAGGAAAGCCAATGAAATGCACACCCCAGGAAAAGCCAATGAACTAATAAAATGAGCTCGATAGGGAAGCCAACTAACTGCATACAAGAGGGGGAAAATGAAATTCAAACTCAAAGGAAGGCAATGAATATTGCAAGTCAGAAATGCAAACAAAATGCTCACCACTGGTAAATTTGTAAAGACAATAGTTACAAAAAAAACACATCACCCTACCTTTCTCAACGTGCTCAACAACTTTCAGAGCCTTTCTAGCTGAGAAGCCTCCCATAGATACATGATCCTCTTGGCCAGCGGAGGTGCTGAGCGAATCCACAGATGAAGGRTGGCAAAGAACCTTGTTTTCTGATACTGTTAAAAGGAAAAAAACATTATTTGATTAAAATAAATACTGCCTCAAGGACCCTGTGTTAAAGACAAGCAAWCATACATACCAAGAGAAGCTGCAGWACAATGCATCATCATAAGACCTGCAACGATTATTGTTTGTTCACATTAGCCTTGAAATATAAGGCAGTCTCTTCTTCTGTATGTAACGAGTAAAGGCATCTAAAGAAATATTTTACCTGAGTTAAGGCCGCCGTCTTTGCTGAGAAAAGCAGGAAGTTCACTGTACGCTATAGAAATAACAGCAAAGAACATCAGTTAAAGCTGAATAGCATAAAAGTACAAACTGGACAAGAAGAATTTATAGATGAAAAGTGGAGAAATCACACAAGCAAGCGATTGACCAAAAAGTATTCAAGTCATTAGGGTTTGAATACATTCTTGTGATAATGACTGGATAGCAGCTCTGTTATGACATCCATTAACTGCGCATCTACTCGTAGTTTTCTGTTTTGCCTTCACTTCTACTTCCAAATCCCAATAGACCCTTGTTGCTCTGTTGTCCCATTTCAGATCAAGTGTCATTTCCTCAAGTATCATTTCTGYCAGGTTCAATATAAGACACTTGAACGTGAATGGATACAACTCAAACAAAGAATCTTATTGCTTACTATCAATCACGTGACTTTTTGGAGTTGACTGGGGGCAAACAAGTGGTTGACTGAGGGGCAAACAAGCGGTTGACTGAGGGGCAATTAGCGGATGCTAAGTCAAAATATGTCAAATTAAGTCCTCAAACTATTGTATTTGACTATTTCTGCGACATGAAACTAGAAAACAAGAAATCAAAACAACCTCCAGGATTCTACAAGCCATCAAAAAAGAGCTTTTACCAGAAGTGACATCTATTGATAGCAACCTATTCTCAAGGGAATGACACATGGTCTGAAATGGGAAAGACCTTTTCTGAGATGGAACACTGTGGTCTAGCTTTAGTACAAACATCTCTTGTTCATCATGCCTTATATRTTGATGTTAGTACCCAAGCTAGAYCACAATGCATCCTGTTTATCAAACTCAAAAAGGCCTAAGCATAAACAGTACATTTATTTAATCTGGCATCAAGTGCTTTAGTAATGACTCTACATTCATTACCAGGGTTCATTAGTCTTTCAATTCGTTTCTCGCTCATGCTTGCAAGTTCATGTACACCAATGGCCAGGTAGTCTAGTGCCTGGAAAAATGCACAAGGAAWAATGTAAACAATGTAACAATGAAGTATGGAGCTGGCATGCAATGACTCCCTTAACCCTTCTACAAAGAGCTCCCTCTCAGTTTATTCCGATAGAGTAATTTTATCTTGGGCATAATGTTWTCCCATTTCAGACCACGTGTCATTCCCAAGAGAATAAGATTCTTTGTTTGAGTTGTATCAATATTCGTGTGTCTTCTCATGTGCAACCGTTAAACAAAGAAATGATACTCTAGGGAATAACACATGGTCTGAAATGGGAAAACATTACGCTCAAGCTAAAATTAATGTCCTACCTTGGCAGGATATTCTCCATGGAAATTTCCACAAGACATTATAGCACCTCGATCTGCAAGTATGATCTTTTATTGAGTTAAGGAAAGACTTATGCACACGTCAGCATCACTTCACCATTTTCTGACAWGTAGAGAAACTCTTTTCCTTTTGGCTTGAGTTTCGATTCAGCTGAGGTGTGAATGATTGACTGGTTTCACTGTGTGGTGAATGCGATACAGGAAATATACTTCCTTTGCACGTTCGTCATTGCGTATGACGTTCTGTGGTCTAAGAACCTCATCCAACGTAACATACACTGTAAGATCTAACCTCCTTTGTGCATTGCGCAATCTTAACATAAGGATACAGGGTTATCAGTAGCGCTGTTCATCTCTGTGGTAAGAATTCCTCGTACAAAATTGATTGTGTCGTTCACTATACCATGAACCTGAGTAAAAACAAGCAACATAAGAGCTTTGCCAAAAGGATTATCATTTATGACTACCAGTCTTTCTTTGCACCTCGCAAACTAAATTGAAGCTTAAAAAATGTTGGATAGAAAGGATTTTGTTAAATACTGTCAAGGTCTACACTGAGATATGGAGTATATTTGTATCCTATGAACTATAGAATGCCTAGAGAGAATCTAGATGTGAGAAGCAGGGAATAAGATATCCGTCCTAATAGGGAAGATTATGACAGTGGAATGGCATCTCATCAATCAAATTTTAACCGAATAACGACAATAAAAACACCGTGTACAAACAATTTCAGACATACCTGAGGACAACAGCGGAGAGTATATGCATCCTGTACGCGCTTACAAAAGCGATGGCTTTCTGTTGCAATAAAAATTGTTTYTTTCAAACTGTTTAAATTTATGTTAGAAAATTGTCTGGCATAAAAAGCAAATTCAGTTGCAATTTTTAAATTTAAAAACTGTTATTATAAATTGGTAATTAAAAATAGTCGATTATTTTGAAAACCTTCACTTTTTAAAACATGGTTACTGTCTCGCATTTCTCTTGTCTTGAATAGAGTATAATGTTGATTAACAGCTCACCTGCAATCTCTGAAGGATGCAATTCAGAGTGCAACACCGAGCGCAATCTCTCTGCAACTATTCCCTGACCTTTGTGAGGGCGAACTTGCTGAATATCTGACAAACAAACAAAAAAAGAACAAACCGATTGTGGATGAATTTTTCTTCTAGAAGAGGACGTCTTTCAAAAAAAGAACTGAGAAAATCTCTGAAGTCCTGCAACATTTTACTGGATCCACGTCAATCAAAGAGACAATTTATAGACRACTTTCATAACTCAGTTTTTTCAGATAGAGAAAATGAAGMCTTTTTACCAGAAACTATTAATGCTATCTGAGAAAATACTTCAGGAAAACTATTTCCAGAAAATTTTGTAGAATTTGACTGCATACCAAAGAAGCTATGAAAGAACGAAAATAGAGAGTTTTGTTTATCACTGGAAGGCAGCTTGATGGCCTCATTTTGGTGCATTTTCTAAACTTCAAATGCTCACATCTTGTAAAGGATTTATTAATTTAAGTAGAAAACTCACACGCCTTATCTAAATCAACAAGATCAATGACTTAAAAGGGTTTTCACTCCAAAAACATTGATTTTTAATGATTATGCAAATTAGCAGCACCCAGTTATGAAAGTCGTGTATTCATTGCATGAATTTTGAACAAGTTAATGAACTTCAAACAAAGGGCGCGAAAAACGTTTTTTTTGCAAACAGTCCAGAATTGTGGTACAAAAATAGTTCTCATTAATATTATAAAACCTTTATAAAAATTAAGCTTGGATAAATTTGTGCACTGGTAATCATTAATATCTATCAAAAAAAAATTATTTATCTGAAGCGAGTCCTTAACATTTTATTGGATTCAACGTCAATCAAAAGCATAATGCATTCCACATGAATTTTGAACGTTTTAATGAGCTTGAAACAAGTCTAATCTATTTTCACACTCACCAATGTCAAAAGCATTGGTACTTCCCTTGAGAACTTCCAGTGATAATGCCGCAATAATGTCAGCTTGCTTTGCGATTGCATGGGCTCGTTCCAGTGCTTAAAGCAAACAAAATAAAGTTGGGTGTATTAGATATAGAGAAACTTCAAAAGCTGTGTAGAAAGTGCTGGTGTGGTTAGTTTACCTTCTGCTCCCAGAGCTGTTATGAGCTGGGTACCATTGATTAGAGCAAGACCCTAAAAAGAAGTTCAAGTTAGTAGAGTCAACAACTGTAGCCAGTTTTCAATCATTCCCAAGGGAGTGAAATCACAAAAGGCAAGGCCGCCACTCTTTGGGCATTTGTTGGCCATGTGTTGATATAACAAAAGAATTCATTGACTATTCTTCCGTTTAATTCAACCAAGATTTTTCGGYTATGTTCAAATGAGTACCCAAGCTAGACCACAATGCATCCTGTTTATTGAACTCAGAAAAGGTCTAAGGAGTGGTCTAAAGCACTATCTATAATTATGGAAGCTGGTGTTACTTACCTCTTTTGGCTTCAGAATTAATGKTTTCATGCCGTGAGCTTCAAGAACCTAAAATAATTGAAACCATAAATATTTTTTATGCTATCAATATGTCCTCCTAAAATCCTCCCTCCACAAAAGATCAACTAGCTCAGTTCTAAATTCAAATTTGATAATGGAACGAGA